CCACTCTCTGAACAGCAATAGAAAAAATATCCTCGGTGAGGAATAAACAACCAAAAACAAAGACCCTTAGAAAATGGGTTTGTCAATTGATAGTTTAAGAAACCGGGACAAGGGCAGATCCAAGATGGTGGCAGACTGAGTGGAAGCTGCACTCACCTCCTCCCAGGACCAAACTGGAATGACAAAGTATAGAAAAATCGTCCTGAATAACCAACTGAAGACGAGCTTTATGACTCAGGACTTACAGAGGAGGCTACATTGAGCCTGGTAAGATGCAGAGGCATGAGAGGGTTTGCCAGGCACTCACGGGCAGCAGCTGAAGTTCTGGAGGGATAGCTTAGCTCGGGGGGGTTCCCCCTGAGAACTCTGGGGTTTAAACCCCAAGTCAGGCTGCCCAGCCCAGAGCACCAGAACCGGGAAAGGCACCCATATAACATCTGCCTGTGAAAAGCAATGGGGTTTCTCTCTGCCAGGGAGAGACGGTTGGAAATGCAGGCACCATCTTAAAGGAACAACACACACATTTTGTTCACAGCCAGTCTCTCTGGGCTCCGTTGGGGAGAGGGCAGAGCAGACGAGCTGCATGAGGAGAGTCTGGGGTTGGTGGCTCTGGGGGAGAGCTGAGAGGTCAGCCAACAGGGTCCCTTTGCTTAGTCCTCTCCCCATGCTGCAGAAGCCACCTTTCTCAGGCAGAGCATTCCCCTCCATGCAGCATCGGCCTGGGGGGAAGCAATAGTTTCACCCATTGGAATCCCTCTTGCCCAACCAGAGGAGCTTAATCCTTGCTGAGGAGTATAGCCCAAGGCTCTTTAAGTGACTGAGCCCTACAGAGAACCTGAAGGCAGAGGCAGATCTCTGGGTGCTTTGAGATTTTTGCTGATCTGCCCCCAAGCCCAGTGCTAGTAAAAGCAGACCTTGGTGCTCAGCTTAGTCCTTTCCACATGCACCCAATCCCAACAGAGGGAGCCACAACTGTGGATTGCTGATAGCTCCAAACAGGTTGCCCAGGACCAGAACAAAAAGTGCCTGACATTGGCCTGCACCAAAGTCCTTCCAAAGAGGCCCAAAACCAATACACCGAGTGACCAACTTCAGACAACAACAGAACAGGATCCAGTAAGCTTCACAAGCAGCATATCCACAGAGAGATCTCGGCAGGCACCAAACCCTGCTGGGGCGAATTCTATTTCATGTATCAGCACCTGCACAGTAGCCTACACACTATGTTGCAGAGTTGAGCCTCACTGTTAGCCAACCTAAGAGTTGATCCCACACACAAATGGACCAATAGCAATCAAGACTCAATTACAACAGGAAGGCCCACATAACATGCACAGGAACATCCTTAGAGCACCCAACTCGGGTGATCTGGGAGATGGCTCCACTGAGTTGTACGGGTCACCTACTGCATAAGGCCACCCTACCAAGACTGGTAGTCATAGCAGATCTACCTAATACATAGAAAGAAACATAAAGAGGAAGCCAAAATGGGGAGACAAACAGGCCCCAAAGGAAAGAACGAGAGAATTTTTCAAAACTAAATGAAATAGAGG